GTAAAAGGATAGACTCTTCATGTGGTTAGTGCCTACGCACCACAAGTTGGTTCAGAGGAACACCATAAGATAAGGTTTTGGGAAGGCTTGGAAGATGTAATACAAGGTATACCATTAGAAGATAAGGTTTTCTTGAGAGAACACACGAGAAAGGCCGGATGGTAGTGGATATGAACAAGCCCAAGGAGGGCATGACTTTGGAGTAGCAAACGCGGAATGTAAAAGCCTCTTACACTTCTCTTCCAGCTCCGAGGTTCTTATCGCAAATACTTCTTTTCAAAAGCTATACGAACATCTTATATCTTATAAGAGTGGGAGGACATGTTCTCAAATTGATTTCTTTCCACCAAGGAAACCAATTCAAAAAATTTGTTCTAATTGTAAAATTATTCCCGTTGAGAGCTAGACAATCCAACATGGAGTGCTCAATATGGATTTCCTTGTCTAATGAACAATAAAGAGAAGTCGCCAAGAGAGGAACCCACGGGCTAGATGGTGGCAGTTGAAGGGTGATAGGGATTTCCAATGCCGTTAATTACAAGAAGCAAAATGAGATGGACATGGAAGTGCGGAAGAGTTATGGTGTGATATGGCAAATATTATTGGAAAGGTAGAAAAAGAATTGACCTTGGAGAAACTAAAGGTAATAATGCAAGAGACAAAGAATCATGGTGGTGTGACACAAGTGTAAAGGTATACGTAAAGCAAGAATGTGTCAAGAAGTCATCTTTATATCGTATGGTCATAAAGTTGAGAAAGATATAACACGGCTAAGATGGAGACAAAAGTGGCCGTAAGTGAAGCAAAAATGAAAGCATATGAAGGGTTTTACCAGTCATTGTGTATGAAAGAAGAGAAAAAGAGTATTTACAAGATTACAAAGGGTCAAGAAAGAAGGATGTGGAATTGGACGAGGTTAAGTGCATTAAGGATAAGAATGGTGAAGTTTTGGTCTCTGATGAAAGCAAAAACAATTGGTGAATAAGCTTCTTAAGTGATCTATTTAAATGAGGAGCATGTGAATCTCTCATGCTCCAATCGGCTACAACCGAGGGACAAAGGCTAAAACTTAAATTATTATTATAAAATTTTAGATGTTTTAACTTTAGGAGGCCCGAAAGCGGATAAAAAATAGTATAGCAATGGGCCTAAAAACATCTCGATTGAAGTTTCGAAAGGATTTAAGAGGAAACAACATTTGGTGGCTAACTAAACTTTTTAACTAGATTCTAAAATTTGGCGACAAAAAATTCCACCAGATGACCCGAATCGGGATTTGAGTCGCACTATTATTAAGTATTTAGAGCTTGAGAGTACAAAGTAATTTTTGAGGTATTGCTTGAGGGAGCTAATGACGTCCCTCCCCTATTTATAGAGTTCGTATTATACATTTAGGGAAATTAACTAATAAGGAATCGGAATTGCGTATGATTCTCCGTAGGTCTGTAAAACTCGTCGCCCTTCCATACCCTAATCGCGGCGTTCTTCCCTTGGTTGCATGTCTACCACGAATCGTCGGATCTGCAGGCCGGGCCATCTCAGGCTCAATCTTCCGTCTCCAGGCCCATATCTTCAGCAGGCTTCGCTGGGCTTTGTGGGTTGCAGAGAACTTCCAGAATGGGCCGTCCGATTGGGCCATCGGCCCATAAAAGACATAATTATTGTAATAATTACATTAATTTTGATTCTATTTATTATAATATTGATCTGATGTAAAATTAAAAATAAACAATATAACAACAATAACCTAGTTGAATCCCACATAAGTAATATCTGGGGTGTGTATACGCAGACCTTTCCCCTACCCAAGAGTAGAGATATTAGAAATAAACAATACTCCCTCTCTCATAAAACGTTCTTCCCAGTTACTATTCAAATTGTCAAACTTTAATCACTTTATTTACCTATTTTTGTTAGTTATTTGATAAAATAATATAGTCTGGTCATCTCTTATTTAGTAAAACTTTTGAGTTAGTTTTTAAATATATAAATTTTATTTTTTAATTTTACACTTATAATAAAATAAATTGAATTGAAAAATAAAGTCAGTCAAATCTCGTAACGAAAACAGGAAGAACGTTTTAGGATAGAGGGAGTATTTTAAGAATTACATTAAATATTTATAAAATAAGAGACGACTGAACTATAATTGTGTTAATATAGAGAAAATACTATACGTAATTTCATAGTTCAATATATTGATTTTATGATTTGATTTTATTACTAGACATTATATGGTATACAGACCTAGAATGATTTATGATTTATATTTAAAAATATATTATTTTTTATTAGCTTATATGATATGATATGATATTCTTAATCATATTATAAAATACAATATAATACCTTGCAATAGAGTCAATAGTATTCAAAAAAAATATATTATGAAATACAATTGTTCAAAAAAGGATGCCACCATGACGTGCTATATTTAGAGTGACATTCTTTATGATTTCAAAATTATTGAATAAATTTGTAATGGAATAGATATAATGAATTTTTTAGAACATGAAAGTATTTTTGTAATTTTATTTTTTTTCACTTCATTTATAAAAAAACTATCAATGAATAAATAAGATTTTATTCCCTAAAAATGATATTTTTTAAACCAGTAAAAAAACTATAACTATTTATGACATGCTTAATAGAAGTTAGTTTGTATTTTATTTATCCTTAATATTAATGTAAAATAAAATAAATTTTTTAAATCTCTACATTGAAATACTATAAAACAAGAAACGGCTAGACTTTAAATGACAAAATATTTAAATCAAATAAATAAAATAAGATAAGAAAGTTTTCACGGGCTTGAACAATTTTGTATTGAAACAGAAAGAAAAAAAACTAAAAAGAACTATCAAATGTTTTTTTAAATTTCTATTTAGAATCATTGGATCACTAGTATTTTTATATTAATTTTTTGAATGGGTGAGTGGAATCATTGAATTTTTTATTTTTTTTAAAATTATATTTTTTTGAATCATAGTATTGCTAATCCAAGCTTTTATTTTTGAATCATGTAGGGAGAAAAGAATCATATTTTTTAATTAATTCGAGAAAGGAGAATCATATTATTTTGGTACTTTTTCTATATTTCACTTCTATTTATGTTGATTTCTTGTCATATTTATGAAGGAGAGATGAATAATATTTTTTATTTTTCTATTCTAAATTAATGAAGTGATGTATGATAGAAGAATAATAATTTTTAAATTATAAGGTTGGTAATCCAAATCTTTAATTAATGCAAAGGAGATCGAATAATCATAGGTTCACAATTTTTTTAATTTTCTTTCGATTAATCTGGGAAAGAATAACTATGTTCTTAACATCAATACGAGAGAAGAGAATCATATTAATGCTAGAAGATGAATCATTTTTTCGATAATCTAAACTAAATTGTGGGGATAATAAGCTTTGCTCATGGCGATTGTATAACAGTTGAGTTTATGAATGTAAACAAATGTTTGAGAATCTTAAACTAGAAAGCAATTTTAAACCACAAAGTAATTTTAATTTGAAGAAAATTATACCCATTATGTTATTGATGAACATTGATCAACTATCTGAATTATGTAAGGCCCCGTTTGGTACATGGAATTCAAAGTATGGAATTGGAATTGAGGGCTTCAATTCCAATTCTGGTGTTTGGTAGCACAAAAATTATGTGGATTTGGAATTGATAGTGTAAAAAATGAATTGGAATTGGTAGAATTCAATTTTATGGAATTGAATATCATGGAATCTCAATTCCAATTCTGTCAATTCTGTATACCAAACGGACCCTAATGGTATGTTTGGGAACATGGATTTGGATTTCAAATCCGAATTTGGCTCAAATTCCATGTTTGAGAAACTTAAAAATTTTGAATTTGGGTTTGAGTCAAATTTTTCTCATTCATAACAAAGCTTAATTTGAAATTTTTGCACCTCCCATTGTCATTTGAAATTCAAGATTTTCAAATTTTGGATTTAAAATGCATAAAATTGAAATGAAATATTAGTTGCCAAACATTACCTAATAGTATATGGTTAATCATTAAAGAGTTGCAAAAAATTATCTTCGGCACAATTCTGGTATCATGAAACAAAGTCATAGGGAACGTTTACATAGGCTAAATTAAATGAATTATGTTTCATTTCATATAGAATTACCTTTGAAGTTTCAAAGAATATAATTTATAATTTATGTTTCGTTATGATTACAAATAAAGTTAAGGCTAAGGTAGCGTTCCGTTGAACCTATTTTTTCTGCTTATTACTTATTCTTATTATAATTAGATCAGATCAGACCAGATTAGACTAGATCAGATCAGATCTGAAACTGCTTTAATTATTGTTGCAATTAGATAAGATTAAACTAGATCAGATCAGATATGAAACTGCTTTAATTATAATTACAATTAGATCAGATCAGACCAGATTAAACCAGATCAGACCATCAAAAAATCAGATCAAATCAGATCAGGCGAACAGAACGCACCCTAAATATTTTCATTTATAAGATTATATTTTACGAGCGATACTAAAAGTATGTTTGAAAGTATCATTTTTAGTCTTTGGTAATCTTTATAACGTCACAAAATTATTATATACCTCAAAAATTTTTAAAATGTTTACATTTTAAAAAATGGACATTTAAATTTCAAATGTTTATTGTAGAAATTTAATCACCATATTTTATATATCCTAATTATTATTATTTTAACTTTTAAAATGGATTTATTTTGTTTGATAGTTGAAAAATGATGCTGCGAAGAAAAATTATAAAATTGGTAAAAGTCCACCTCCACCCTGGTTTTTTTTTTCAATTTGGGAGTTGGGACGATTCCGGTCCAGTTTTGGACCGGGGAAGCATGAGCCATAGTCCCATACCCACCAGAAGGACGCACGTCTTTGATGTTTCTCCTTCGTCCTCACTGATGATTTGACGGGTACGGTCTCAAAATAAAAATAGCCCATCCCACACTTTGAATTGAGGGCCTCAACTTTGTAGCATATTCCCAGTGATCCCCTCAGAGAAAGTTGTCTGGTCCCAGTAGAAAGGCATTATTATTGCAAGAAAGAAAACGTCCCTGTACATGATCACCGTGAATTCTCCTCCGTCCACGTGGCAGGCCTCGTTTTCCGTGGTTCCAGTACGGCTACAAATTGCAGTGAGTAGTCACCCTCCATGCTTCTTCTTCTTCTTCTCTGATAACACGCACTATTGGGTAGCAGCCAGTCCTCATTCCTTCCAGTGAAGTGGTAAGTACCATTCTTTGTTGGACTTCTTGATTCTTGATTGAGAAAAGATTTGATCTTTGAATTTCTGGGTCTAAAGGTATGTTCGCTCTTTTATAGTGTGGTGTGGCCGATGGCGACAGTGACTGCATCCCACTTCGTTTCCCATGTCTGCGGCGGCGCAATTTCTCCAGAGACAAAAGTGAGCCTGGGTCAGCTCGCCCTGAGGAACAGTCAAGCTGGGAGTCACAATGGGTTGAGATCTGCGAACAATTTACTGCTGAGAGCCAACCCCATGGTGAAATCCAAGAAGCTTGGCAGAAATGGAAGGAGGATTGAGGCTGCAATGGCGTCGGTTCCCTCTGTGAGTGGACAAGGCATGAACCTGGTCTTTGTGGGCTGTGAGGTGGGCCCTTGGTGCAAAACTGGTGGGCTTGGAGATGTTCTTGGAGGACTGCCACCAGCCTTGGCTGTGAGTGATTTGCACTTCTTCTGTTCAGCATTCACAGTGATGTATTGTTTTTTGGTCATTCAGAATTGTGTTGAATTGTTTTGTAGGCACGAGGGCATAGGGTTATGACGGTTTGTCCACGGTTCGACCAGTACAAAGATGCTTGGGATACTTGTGTGCTTGCCCAGGTAATCTCTGTCCATCTTTTTAAGACTGGTCGCTATTACTTTTCCAATGCAAGAATACATATGTAAGTGTGTGAGAGCTTATGTTGCAGGTACAAGTAGGAGACCGAACTGAAACCGTTCGTTTCTTCCATTGCTACAAGCGTGGAGTCGACCGTGTTTTTGTGGATCATCCTATGTTCCTTGAGAAGGTTAGGTTTAAGACTGATGAATTTCACACTGTTATGGTTGGATGTTAGAAATAAAACCTTGCATTCCACCATTTGAGCTATTGTTATACCCGTAGTGTATGCTAATTAAAAACAAATGGTTTCTCTTAGGTTTGGGGGAAAACTGGATCAAAGCTCTATGGCCCCAAAGCTGGAGATGATTACAAAGATAACCAGCTTAGGTTCAGTTTACTGTGCCAGGTAATGCATTCTTCCATTCTGTGAACTGCTAGAGACATTAGCTTCCGGCATTGTTGTGTCTAATGCGTTTATGACTTTGAGATTTTGACTTGTGTTGGTTGCAGGCAGCACTTGAGGCACCTAGAGTGTTGAATCTTAACTGCAACAAATACTTCAGTGGACCTTATGGTATTTTACTTCTTCAGTTTTTGGAAATACTTGTGAATAGTGATAGGCTGTTAGTCTTGGTGTGTTAAATAAGCTTGTTTTGGTGTTCACAAATAACATACTTCAACGTGAGTTCAAGACAAATCTTACCATCTTTCAAATAACTAAACATCCAAGCTGTTTTGGGGTAGTTTGAACCACCACCATCATCAAACTCAAACCAATCACATAGCAGTTTATAAATAGTCCCAATTTAGGTCTTCTTGATCTTAGTGACAAGATAAGGATGACCATTTTGTTCTATAAAACCAAAATTGTGATACTGTTCCAAGACAAGTTCATCTAGTATTACTTCGCCAACATGAAGTCAGTCTTCCCAACCCTAAGGAGCAATATTCTTTAGCACTTGTTGAGTGTAGTAGCTTTTGGGTCTTCATTTGCCAAAGGTTGTTTGTTGAACTAGTCTGGTGCCTCTTCTTGGTCAAGAGGACCAAAAAGTAGTGGATTCTTAAATCCTAAAAGAGGATCCTTTTGATAATTACTTTAACGCATTTTACTTGTTTACGCTGTATATTGCACACTGTTTTTAATTGACACCTTAAACACAAATTTTAATAGCACCCTAATCTTTTGGATTTGAATTAGTGTGTGCATGAAAATGATTAGTGCAATCGTTTTTGAAATTGTGTGCAGGTGAGGATGTTGTTTTCATCGCGAATGATTGGCACACTGCTCTCCTTCCGTGCTATCTTAAAAGCATGTACCAGTCGAAAGGAATCTACATGAATGCCAAAGTAACATCTTCTGAACTGATCTCTTTGTCACCTACTCACAAAGAATATACTAACATGTTCTTTATCTCCCCTTTAATGTTACCAGGTTGTTTTCTGCATTCACAACATTGCCTACCAAGGCAGATTTGCCTTTTCAGACTTTAAACTTCTGAATCTTCCTGACACATTCAAGGGCTCTTTTGATTTCATTGATGGGTATGAATTAAACAGTCCAAGTACACTAACGTGTAACAATCTGTATCCTGCTTCTTTGGTGTTAACTGAATTTGATCAATTCTGAATCTCAAAGGTATGACAAGCCGGTGAAGGGGAGAAAGATAAACTGGATGAAAGGTGCAATACGTGAGGCAACCAGGGTTGTTACTGTGAGTCCGTACTACGCCAAGGAGCTTGTTTCCAATGTTTCAAAGGGTGTAGAACTCGACAACCACATTCGTGACTGTGGCATTACTGGTATTTGCAATGGAATGGATACCCAAGAGTGGAACCCGGCAACTGACAAGCACATTCGCCCCAATTATGACATCACCACTGTAATCTTTTTACTACTTTTCATCTGAATTTTTGTTTGATGCACTGAATTTGTAGAGTTTTGCTCAACTGGAATTGTGATTATTAGGTTACGGAAGCAAAGCCCTTGGTGAAGGAAGCTCTTCAAGCAGCTGTCGGTTTGCCAGTTGACAGGAATATTCCATTGATTGGTTTTATTGGGAGACTTGAAGAGCAGAAAGGCTCTGACATTCTGTATGCTGCAATTCCAAAGTTCATTTCTAAGAATGTTCAGATAGTGATTCTTGTAAGTGTACATGAACGACCTTAATGCGTGCTTTACTTCATTCTCATGGCTACCTGAGGAAATTTGGAATTTAAGTGTGACGATGAAATCTTTTTTGTTTTCCCTATTTGATCAGGGAACCGGAAAGAAGAAATTCGAAGAGCAGATTCAAAAGCTTGAAGTTATGTATCCAGACAAAGCTATAGGAGTGGCAAAATTCAGTGCCCCCTTGGCTCACATGATAACTGCTGGTGCTGACTTTATGTTGATCCCAAGTAGATTTGAACCTTGTGGTCTCATTCAGTTGCATGCCATGCGATATGGAACTGTATGAATCCCTCCCACTACTTATCTAACTCTCCACCTCATAGTTAAAAGAACCGTGCTAGGGTAACCCCAACAATGACCCCAAGCTTCGCACGAACCACACAGACAATAACAGTCCGTGTGGTTTGTACAAAGCTTGGCGTCATGGATGGGGTTACCCATTTGGTGTTATCCTAGCTTTATTGTAGTTAAAATACTAATTATCGCTATGAATGGTGTCCATATATCAGCCATGTATCTGCGCCTCAACTGGTGGTCTTGTTGACACCGTGAAAGAAGGATATACAGGGTTCCACATGGGAGCTTTCAATGTCAATGTATGCAATCTCCTCCCATTATCATTTTTTTTCTTTTTCCAACTTTTAATATTTAGGACTTGAAGGGTTCCTTATATCCTAAAAGGTTTATTTGTTTGGTCAATATGGGATGTCTTGATGCTAACTAAGCATTATCCTTTGTTGTGGTCAGTGTGAAACTGTTGACCCGGCAGACGTGCTTAAGGTGGTAACGACCGTTGTTAAAGCACTCGCTGTCTATGGAACTCTTGCATACGCCGAAATGATCAAAAACTGCATGTCACAAGACCTCTCTTGGAAGGCAAGTGTTGCGTTCAAATAACCATTTCTCTTGTTTTAGAGTATTATTATTAAAATACGGTATCTGTTCATACATACTTTTCTCACTGGAGCGTAAAGAACCAATGCCCCCATTGGGGTTTGAACTTGTGACCTCGACAACATGAACCGGTTTTTTGTTACAGGAACCGGCCAAGAACTGGGAAACAATGCTGCTGAGCTTAGGCCTGGTTGGCAGCGAGGCTGGCAGCGAAGGGGATGAAATTGCACCCCTTGCCAAGGAAAACGTTGCGACCCCATGAGAAAACGTTGCGACATCATTCCTGTGCTCGCGGCTTCCATCATTTTAAAAAAAAGCTCGATTAAGCTAACATTTCAAAGTAAAGAGCAGTGGGCATATTTGTTGCTTCTGGTATTGTAGTGTTTTTTTAAGAGCATTGTGAGGTGCTAGCAAATTAAAAGAAGAAAACTAATTAATGGGGTGATTAAAGATATTGGGAACTTGCATTAATCCAAGTGTGTGTAATACTGTAATAATGTTATTAATAAAGCATATGCCCTTTTTGGTTAGAACAACTTTTGGGTTTAAGCTTTAAATCTCATTTTGTTGCATCAAAACACCCATCGCTAATACTATCAAGAAAAGACTAAGGTCAGATCTTTGGTGTAACCTCATCTTTACCATGAAAGGGTTACACACTTTCTCCAAATCAATAGCATGTGTAAATCCCTCTTCTATAACCCAATTATTAAATACGCATCTGTTATTTTTAATTAAAAAAGTTTTTTATGTGAGAAGATCCTCAAAAATGGTATTCACCTAAAGTGCACTAAAGAAGCACTCCAGGCGCTAATCACTCGTGAATGAATATGACTATTAAAATTAAGAAACACTTGGTCTATCGTGTATATTACAAGTCCTTCAAATATTTAATCAGTTTTGATTTAGATTAAGGTACTTATTGAGGATTTAATTTTTCAAGCCTTGTAGTGAGTGATTAATATCTACGAAAATGTTTTTCTTGTCAAAAGGCATTTGCACACTTAAGCTATTTTTACTCTTGTGCTAAAAGGTGGAATGGCCCGCCTCATGCGCCCCACACCCTAGTCAGACAAGATTGCAACGGGGTCATGGTGAACTACGCCATATACTCAATGTGCACAAAGCACAAAGAGCCAAGGTTGCTCCTGATATACCCGGGCTGGACTAAACGAAACCCAAACCCAAATTCATTATTATTTTCCTATCATAATGAATAAAACAAAGCTACTCCCTAAATATTCCTAAAGTTGGCCGATCATTTTCAAAAAAGATACAAGAATACAAAAGCAGTGAAGATTTTGAAAATGAACCATTTTACAAATTCACTCATTTCTACAAGATCAAATCACTCATTCCTATTCCTCGACATGCCGATGAAAAATCAAGGGAAAGAGAAAGTATACAAGTAAATAGTAACAGTTTGTCACCTTGTGCCACAAAAGTCAATACATTTTCATCTAAAATTTTTGCCTTAATTCCCTCTACATAAGCTGAAACTTCCACATCAAAAACACCAATGTTGACTTTATGTCCATACATCACTTGCCAAAATCTCTTTCCAACTGATGGAGCAATTGCCATATGATTTCTCTTCCATCATTTGCCATTTGTCTACCATTACATAGCTAATAATGTGCCCAAATACTTAGACTAAAGTTGTGTGTGGAATTAAGTGTCTTTGTTCACATTCTAAATTATCGTTTCTTCATGTAAAGTTAATCATTTTAGCTCTTTTGTTGCTCTATATAAATAGTCATTTGGGCTTTGTAATCTCATTATTATGTGATTTGAGAAATATTAGCGTGTTTACTCTTTTAAGTGAAACATGAAATTGAGTGATTCAGTCTTATCCCTTTCATAATTGTATTTAGGAGTCTTATTTTACACCTCAATTGTGATTATTGGAGTATAAGACTAGATACTAAGCCCTAAGGTGAATTAAGTGTGTATAGCATCTCTTGGAGTTCAACTTAGTGTCATCATTCTTCTCATCTATTTTTTGAATTTCTACCTCCATTCGGTCCTTCACATATTGTGTTTTATATATTTGTTTAAGTCCTTGGCAAATATATAAAATTTGGTATCAAAGCTTAGCTTCGACGACTTTCATAAGTCTTGACGATTACTTAGAGGACTGAAGTCGCTAACCTTGCACGAAAAAGACATTCTGAATATTTTCCAGAAAACTTCAGAAGTAAAGAACCGATTGATCATCTAGGAAGGCACACAAATTATTTTACAATGAGACTTTCCAGTTTGAAAGTTCAACCCGTTATCTACGTCGGGCCATTGATACGCCCTTCTGAAGTTGATATCACAATCCTGAAAGAATTCTCTCCACCTCACTGATTTTGTCTCCAAAGAGGAAGAAAACATTCTTCAACGACTCTGAATTTCTTATATGTGTTAGAGGACTTCAATATCTAGCTTCGAGAGTTGGAATCACGTCATTCCAATTTCTGGTTGGTGAGATATGACTTTTTTTAAAACAAGCCAAAAAATCTAGAAACTATTTTTTGCAAATGAGATAAAAATCCAGAAGCCACGCGGATATGGGATGATGAAGAAAGATGAAGAATGCGAAAATGTCTTTGGTTTTCATGGCAAATATAAAAAGGACATTTTTGAAGAGCCTATTTCAGAGACACAAGATGAATCTAATCAACCTTTATCATTTTATGATTATGATTATGATTTTTGGTGAAAAACAATATTATCTCATCATGGAAATATATATATGGAAAAGGTTTGTTGTTTGAAGTTAACAGAGTGCTGGAGACCACACAAGAAGGTGAAAGCGGGCTCAGGAAAGAATCTCATGACTCGTTGTTCATCTCGTTTCCGATGTTTCCCATTTGACCTAGGAATTAAACAGGGACCACAACATATCAATTCTTCATGATGGTACAAAGTTTGAGGTCAAACTTTTCTGAAGAAAGGGAGGATGGTATAAGCCATTTGGGCTGACTCAAACTCATAGTTATTATTAAGAATGTATAATCTCTTAAAATTCAACTTAGTATTAATATTCTTTCCATCTATTTCCTGAATGTTAACCTCTATATGGTCAGTATTACAATTTCTCCATAACTTTTTTTGTATGTGTTTTCATTGATAATTTGATAATATTTTTTATTATTGTCACTCACCAAAATCCCTTTCCAATTAATGGAGTAAGTGGCGTATGATTTCTCTTCCATTAATTTTCATTTGTTTGTTACTCCCTTCATCCCAGTGTATTCGTCTAGTTCGACTTTTTCATGTAAAACTAGATAAACTTTAAACATCAATTACTCTTAATTTGTATTTCATGCTAATAGAAGAAATTAAGATATTAATAGTTCTCAACAAGATAAATCTATTGAAAGAATTTTTATACTAAAGTACATGACCATTTTTATTTAATTTTGGTCCAAAATTTATCTTGTTTGACTCGAAAAACATTAAGCTGGACATGGGGGTGTGTCTCCACTTGCCAATTTCTCTTATATACTGCCTCTGTCCCAAAATAGACAACATTGTCACTATTACAACCTCTCGATAACTTTTTTTGTTTATGTTTTCATTGATCATTTGATAAAGTAAAATATCTTATAATCTCTTGTTTTGTAGATTTTTTGATGTACTTTTTAACGATATAATTTAAACAGAGTATATTTTATTCATATACAAATAAAAATGAGTTTTAAAATGATAAGATTTTACACGTTTGGAATGTGATACCCATTATGAAACAGAGAGAGTATTTGTTCAAGTCCTAGACAAATACATCTTCCGTCTCCCATAAATCTTCTCATTAGTCCTTTTTATTTGTCTCCCCATAAATCATCTCATTACTTTTTTAACATTTACAATACTACTCTCACTTAGTTTATTCATTACACCTCACACACTTCATTTAATACATTCCACCAATTTTCATAAATGATTTTTGGTAAACTTTCACCTTTTTTAACTCTCTTTAAAAACTACAACAAATTCAAAATGAGATCTTAGGAGTCGGAAGGAGTATATAACAGCTCCCACCCTGCCGTTTGTGGGTTTAATATATACTCAATTTGATTGAAAGTCAAATTGGTCGAGGACATCGTGAGGAAGATCATAATATACCTTCTCAATATTCAAAAAAGCTAGACACCAAGTATGACAACACTTAATATTTCACAAACACTTCACATTTGGTGCTCCCTTAGCACTTCAATATGAATTAAACTATTTGTACCCCAAAAAGTATACCTACTTTGTACCCCAAAGGCATGCAACAACATTTTGTACTGGTATAATGCTAGTGTGATGGTTTACATTGACACAAAATGTCAGTCATGGTTGTCAAGTCGACAAGTCGAGTCGAGTCGGTGACGGGGAGACTAGTGGACTAGGCGACTAGTCGTAGACTAGTCGACAAATCATAATTAGTATTGAAATTTTTAACATTATATATATCTACACTAACCCAACATGAATATATATATATTTATATGTCAAAATACCATAACCAAAGCAAACTTATGTTTAAAGATAGCACATAAAGTCACTTAACAAAGAGTACATAACAAACAACTATCCTTCAATCTTGGATGGATCGTCTTCGTAGTCGCGGATATTATTATCTCTCATTTGTTCTGAAATAATTATTAAATCAAATTGGTGAATATGACATTCTAGCAACTAAACAAAAACAAGAGCCTAGAACCCTTAAAATATTAAAATAAGAAATACAAAACCAATATATTAATTGAATTTAGAAAAAAATTGAAATATTAAACTGAAAATAAAATTGAAATACTAAAATAGTAGAAACTGTAGAATAAGAAAAAAATTAAAAGAAATCTTAAACTAAAAAATTAAAAGAAATACTTTAATGATAACAAAGTAAAAGAAAACTTACCCATTGAGGAGAGTCGGTGATGGAGGCTGATGGAATATAATCGATGATGGAGGAGAGTCGCTGGAAGCCTGGAAGTCGCGGAAGTCACCCTGGAACTGAAAGACTATAGTCGCGACTCGATTGTGGGTGGATTGCATCGAAGGAGGCAGCGTTTTGTTAAAAAAAATTAAAATTAATGAAATTTGGGTCGGGTCGGATCGGGTTGGGCCGGGTCACTTAAATTAGGTCAAATTCTGCAGATTTCTTTCACCGATTAGGCGACGCCTAATCGCGGCTAAGCGACGCTTTGCGCGCTTAATAGCCTAGTCGGCCATAGGCGCTAGGCGCACAGAAATTCTCCCTCGCAAAAACGGCCGGACGAATAGGCGCCAACTAGTCGTGGCCTAGGCGACGACTTGACAACACTGATGTCAGTGCAAATTTTTTTGTTTAAACTAACATTTTGTCCAAATGCGAACCTTTTAAAATGTTGGTGAATCTATTTGGAGTAGAACTTGGTATACATTTCTTGGTTTACCCTTAGCATGGTTGTTTCAATAATTATACTCCATCCCCCTATTTGCCCCTGTGGTAGGGAGTATAAATTAGTTCCAATCCATCGATTAATTAGTGAGTTGTTTAGACGAGAATATACAGAAGGAAAATGAGATATATATTCAAATGGCATTTCCCATCCCAATCATTCCCCCATCTACAATTGTGCTAATCATTGTCTTTTGTTCACAACACTTAGTTGTACAACTTACCTGGATATTGTGTCCTCGTCTGAATATAAAGAAATGAAACCCCCGTATTGAAACATCTTGTCTGGTTAAAAACTCCATCAATAATAAATTAGAAAAATTGACAAGAGATTGGTGCCAGTCTACAATATCAATATGCCCGATAATAACTTCAATTCTTAACTTACGAGTCCAATAAGAATCCTTCCTAACCTCGTCTATCCCTCTACTTGTGCTCAGCAAGACTGCAATAATAATACGAAACCTCAAAGCCGAATCATCTGTACCGGTTGCACCATGCATTGGAAACCGAGGTGGCGTGCAATACCCACCGTGCTCCAGTTGATGGTCTTTTCATGAATGTGAATAAAAGGAATACAGGAAATGGTGACCATTTCGCAGAAGCATTCACCCGGTATGACTGTTAGATGGTTCACTACATCCATTTTGTTGCACTTTAACCCTCTGGTAGAAGAGCACGTAGGCAGCTGATGTCTGTATATCACTTTCGGCAGCAGCAGAAACATGGGAGTCGTCAAAATGATACCACCTGTTCTCATCAACTAGCTGCAAAAGGATTTGAAATCGGATGCCACATGGATTTGAGTACTACTCGTAAAAGTTTTTTTTCTTTAAGGGTTCAATCAAGAAAAAGTGGACGACCAAGCCAAAAAAAACAGATACCTTGCAGTGGGCAGAGTAATGGCCTCCACCTAGGCCGCCATAATGATTACTGATGGCAAACAATTCATACACATGTGAGCCCTCAGACGCATTCTTACTTTTCATATATTTGCTTAGATCTAGATTGTGAACAGGAAAGTTCACAAAGGTATCGAGCTTGTTTTTCATCCATCGGTTGTATGAGAAACGTTTCAAGTGAAAGACAAGTATGTCAGGAAGTCTCCACAAATCTAACTTCTTGGTTGCTTGTCTATGTTCCTTGCAGCTAGGACAATACCTGCATTGGAAGCAGCAACAAAAAGACAGTAACGAGGCACACTCGGCAAAAGTAAATGCCACAAAAATCATCCATAATGGGAATGTGTTCTAAGTTATACCACATATCATCGGGCCCCAGGGGCTCTTCCTTCAAGAATGCCTCCAAACAGGAAAACAAGGAGAAAGCTTCTTGCTTTGTTTTTTTCGCAGCAACTCCAGTTTTGTGTACTACAGGGAGATCCTTTAGATAGCTAGAATCAAATGATTCATGATCTTTTTCGGTCCAGTCGAGAAATACCTTTACAACAGGTCCGGATTTTATTTGTGTATCATTCGAAATTGGGCTGCTGCACATGCCCCGGTCATCAGTTATACATAGACGAAATGACAACTCGGTGCTAGAACTTTCTTCTGTTTCCATATCATCTGCAGACTGAAACATCGAACCAGACTCCATGCTACAATTCATTGGTTCTTCTACAACTTCTGAGGCAGCGCCATTTTCCCTACCCTCAGGATCAAGCGACTTGAAATATGATTTTCTTCTTAAAGGAGAGAGTATTCTGTCAACAGCAAGATCAATAGTGACTCCAGTCACTGGTTCCTCCATGAAAGTAATAAGTGGTGTCAAGAAGAGCTTCCACTCTCCAGCTTTTGATCTGCCCATGATACCTCTACAAGAATAGAATGAAATGAGAGCATGAATCAATCTCTTTTTTTTGCTTTCGCAATGCATATGTTCCTGCTACTACAAAAAACGTCCATCTTCGAATGACTGAAAATAAAAATTCTTATCAAAACAAACTATGCTTACTTATCAATGAATCGGTGGCAAACCTCCAGTTTCGCTAATCTTGCCGCTCTTTTGGGAAGTCTGTATGCAACAATTTGATCATCATCTTTAATTGAGTGCAACGGATCAGAAGAGTTCTCCAAGTATCGGAATATTCGATGTTGATAAACCTTCATGAAAATTAAAGACACAAGGAATCACATACAGCAATCACATGCATAAATTGACATGTGATTTGTTCCAACATTCACATATATGGAACTGATATGAAAATTATTACCTCAGCAAGCAACAAATATTCATCACTCTGTAAACAACATTCTGTTCCTAAAGCTTGTAAGAGATCTTTATGGCAACCGTGTTTTGGTACAGTAACTGTATATGGCATTGGAAGGCCACCTCCATCACCATAAAACACTGTCACTGTAATTATCCTGGTGACCGTTGAAGGAAGAGGCAAGGACAAGTACATGAATGGATCGAATGTAATTGAGATCTTTTTGCAATCTGGACAGCACAATGTTGACTTATACTGACCCTAAAAAGTACAACGTCAAATTCCACATCAGCATCTTATTACTCATGTCCCCAAAAAAAACGTATTTGGTCATGGTACAATCTTTTAACTTTGACAGGGTGTCACTCTTAAAAGACAACATCCTACAAAAAAAAGTTAAGAATACTTTTTGGTACAATTAAATCTATTATATTGAATTTGTTTGTAAGTTCACTGAGCAAAATACATGAAAAATTAGCTTTGCTTTATCAAATATTCCCTCTGTCCCGGAATAAAGTTCCGGGTATGACTTTCACATAGTATGAGAGAAATGTTAAAAAGTAAAAATTGTGGCTGGATTTATGGAGGGGAGAGAAATCAATTGAATCACACAATTATTTTTTAAAGAAGGAAATGAGAACTTTATTTTGGAACACCAAAAAGAGAAGTGTGAACTTAGTTTAGAAACGGAGGGAGTACTTGGTATGACTTTGTGACAAAAGGAGTTTTTAATATTGGACTTTTTGGACAGAGGTCACTCCGGGTTTCATTTAATACTAAACTATGGGTGCATTGAAGTTTTAGCTATAAAAGGAGTAACCAGCAACGGAATGGTTCCTAATGAAAACTCTTCCATGATCCATACACACAAACAGGTGCATGTATTTTGCATGTGTGGGTGTACAGGTGTGTGTGTTGGTGGGAGGACATCAATGAGTATCACAAGAATAACTCAACCATGGTTACTGGTTTCCAACTGTAAGATTAAACCAAGGATTCATGCTTCATTAGAAAGTACATCCCACAAATACCATGAAAAATACACCCAAGATTTTAATATATAATCAAGAGGTTTCAGAACTCAGAGTGAAAGCGAAGTCTTAAATAATGTAGCATGTCGTGAAGCCAAGCTACAAACCTGGCAAACATCAACTATTACAGAATCATTTCTAGCTTTGTGGTATCTCCAAAACTCATCTGCAACCTCTTCATCTGGGCGGCCATCAGAGTCTTTAGTTTCGAAATAAGGTTTTTGTTTAACACGATTCAAGTCTTCATGCAACCCATCCAGGAGAAAAGCAAGAAGTTCCTGGGCAGATAGAATGCTATATCATTAGCTTCCTTACTAAACACATGAGTAAAGAACATGGAAATGGAAGGTGTACTAACTGCCTGATTCCCATTGTGGAGTGGTAAAAACATGGAAATGTAAGATGTAGCAACTACACCTTTAGATACACAGAATAGTGAAGTATTTGATTATTTCTTTTTAAACAAAATGAAGATAGCACGAATGATACATATAATACATATAAATCTGTGTTATAGATAATCTTTTTTTGTATTAAGAATGTTAGCCACCGAAGTTGATATCACATAGAATACAAATAAAGGAAAAAAATAACAGCTTTTGCTCTTAAAGATGAAATTAATGTGTGTAAACTGTAAAGGTGTGTGAATGTGTAAGTTACCACAAGTGGGATCTGACGAGGGTTGATGTAAGCACGTCTTACTCCTACCTAATACCTATAGAGGTAAAGAAGCTATTTATGAAACTATGAAAGACCATAGACCCAAGAAAACAAGACGTATTAAAACAATCAAAAAATAAAAGATAGGCAGAAACAGTTAAAAACTACTCCCTCGGTCCTAAAACCATCTTCCCGGTTTGACTGAATCTCATTTTTTAGGAAGAGTAAATCTGGATTTGACCTTCCAAAAACACCCCTCCTAAACATAGAAAATACAAGCCCAACTGAACAAAAAATTTGAATGCCCAACAGGCAAAGGTGGTTGCGGCGTTGGTGGAGTGAAGTATGGCGCCGGAGCACCCTCTTTCAGTCGCCTATGCCGAGGGACAAGGCCTGGATCCATCGCTGAACGCTCCCGCAGATTTTAGGAATATTTTCCTCGACGGCGAGAGCACCTGAGTGAATATCACCCACGATGTAGCGTTTGGAGCAGGAGACAGTGAAGATTTCAAATTCCAATTGTGGGCCGCAGCTTCACTCCTTGTTCTTCTCAACGTTCTCAACAGATGTGCACAGTTCTTCTCAGTGGCGGTGGCAAAGATTAGATCTAGGACAGGGAAGAAAGTGAGAAAGTAGATTAGATTGAGAGAGAGAGAGAGAATGTGGGCGGTGAAGAAATGAGGCGTAAATGTGGGATGGTTCCTCGACAACAGATCAAGAAACAGATTAGGGATTCGAGAATGTGGGCGGCGAAGAGATGAGGCATAAACAATGTTCGAAATGGCGTATTGCGGTTTCGCGGCATTTTTTTTCATGGCGTATTGCGTAAGCCTCAAGGCATTTTGAGGCGTAAGCCTCACTTTTTAAATTGAAAAATGTCCACAAAACATTTTAAAAACAAAAGATAGAACATAATGTGTAACATAAATAATCCAGAAACATTAAAAAAGTATATTGGCAAAGTAATCATGTCAAACACAACAAAGTCTAACATGGAATAAGACAATATTGGCCAAAGTGAAGAACTTAAATTGAAGGATTGAAAAAAAGTTCATCAGTGTCCAATGGCTTGAAACAAAAAAATGCCTATTAAAACCTCCAGCCGTAAGAAAGTAAAATTAATTACTCCTACATAAAACCATAAGCAAGAAGAAAAACCAATTAAATAAATATAGCAAGAAAATAATATAATACTCCCTCATAAATCGTCCAGCTGTAAGCCATCATCCATTCGTATACCTTTTGCAAAAAAAGGAATCATACCTGCTGCTGAATCGCGAGGGAGACAGAAAACAGAGAATCAGAGAAGGTCGATGCTATGAAGAAGATGAATCGCAGGTTGGTAATCGCAGCATATAGGGTCGCAATGAAGGTCATCGACAAAGTAATTTTAAAATGTATACACTTAGTTTGGGTAATTGAAAACTTTAACCTTTGATTTTCTAATGTTTAAACAGTAAATGGCATACGCCTCATTGCGGGCACCAGTGTGTACGCCCCATGGCATAAGCCTTTAAGCCAATTGCTTAAAATGGCTAATAGGGTGAATCAGGATACGCACCAGGGCAGTAATTTCAGAAAAAAGTTCTATGCGCGCCTTGAGGCGGGTTTAGGTTTCACCATTTCAAACATTGGGGGTAAATGTGGGGATGGCTCCTCAACAACCGAGAAGACTTTGGACGTGGCCGAGGTAGAGGTCGAGGGTCCGGGAAAGGTCAAGATGGTGGTTGGTTTCAGCTGGATAAGAGTCACATAACATTAGGTGTTTCAAGTGCAACGAGCTCGGGCATTTGGTGAATGAATGCCCAAAATGGGATCAAAAGGAAGACAGCAAATTTGATTGATGATGACAAACCAGCGTTGCTGTGAACATCAAACAACGATTAGGGCTATGATTATTAGATTTAATCGGGTCTGTTTAGATATAACTAAATGGGTAGGTCAACATTTGGGTCAGTTAGTATAGAGTCAGTTAGTATGAAGTCGGTTAGGATGCAGTGGGTTAGTGTGTCTTCCATATTTAATTAATTAAAAATAAAAAACAGTTGGGCAGTTTTTAAAGATAGGTCCTAGTAGTTCCTTAAAGTTGTGTTGGTTTAAAAAAATTGTGTTGGTTTGTAAAAGTTGTGTTGGTCTGTTCTCTATTCATATTTAGAGAACACAAACAATCCCGTACAGTTCACAACAATAAAATATTGTTTTACTTTGCATTGATCCAATCCTGTCTAACACACACGAGGAGCTAAATCCCAGATATTTAGCATGATGGCATGATGGGCTTAATTGTAAAATAGGAAAACGTTAAAGGAAAATTGAATATATTAGCAAAACAAATTCTAACCTGTGAATCATGCTGGTTATATCCACTAAATTGTGGGGCAAAGCGACCAAGTTTTCCTTTGAATGCACGAGGAGCAATTGATGACCGACCAGAGGACCATAGTTTCCTCAATAGCTCACCAAATGCAAGTGCAAGCTCACCCTGCAGAAAAAGAAAAGATATTAGAAGTGAAATGCAAATTTAGATCTCAAACAAACCAAAAACTTTTGAGCAAAGAAGCTAATTACATGCATTCCTAGAGGATTATGCTTGTTGATCTCTTCACTGTAATCTTGCAAGAAGTACTCAACAAGTGGAGGTGTATGAGCTAAACACTGTAGAGCACTATTCATAAAGCATGTATTTCCCAAGTTCTGCAGCCCAGCTAAGCCCCTGCTCTCTCCTTTTGAAGTATTTCTCAGGTCATCATATCCATCCTCCACACCACCTAATGCAAACCTTGAAGAACTCTGCTGGTATATATCGGAGGTATACCTATTGGAGAAACCATTGGACAAAACCGGACCACCTGCAATGGTAACAGATGACCTCAAGGGTTCTACTGGAACTAATGCCATGTTGTTTCCTGTAGAATCCATGTCATAACTGGGAGGCTGAAATCCTTCAGCTTGAACCTCAAGAAGAATCTAAGAAAAGTTCAATCCATCCAGTATGTGTATGGTCAGACACTGAAAGAGAAATCAATCACAGGCCCATAATGCACTTAGCAAAACACTAAACCAAATTACTTGGAAGACACCGTGTGCTCTTGGTGCACATCCACCAGTATGTGTACAGATACCCCAGGAAAGAGAAAAGCAATCACATGCAGATATTATAAGATTAACATACAAGGTAAGATGTGCTCATAATATTACAAAACATCCAACTTTCCATCTACATTCCAAGATAACATTAGTCTTCCCCAAATTGGCATGAAAATGTAATATAGTAACCTTAAAACATTAGAAAAAATGGTATGCAATATATGCTTCCTTCTCAAGCAGTTTTACTTCTAAATGTTGGAAACATAGAATAATCATTCAGAGTATGTATAGTCACTTCCATCTTAATCTTTTTCTTGGGATGTTTACCAATTTAGATTCAAAAAATCAACTATTTGCCATGCGTGACAATTTAGAAAATGAGTTTGCAATGCACTTGTGTGCCAAAATTAGAAATTAAACTACAAGTCAGTTCAATGAAACTGACTTGGCAAGAAAAAAAGGCAATGTAATGAATGACTGATGCTATTCATTGTTCATTGGCAACCAATCCTGCCATACTATTTACATCGAAGTACCAAAATATCTTAATATGTTGTGAACATATGTCCAAAATGCATATGTACCATACTAAACTCACATCGTGGTCCATCTGCAACTCAGCTTCTTCTAGGGTTAGGTTCGAATCAGATAGCAGTTTACACTTCTTTCTATTGAAATAATCCCAGATCCTGGCCTGTGAAATGCAGGATTAGGAATCATGTGGTGCATGATAATACAGAGCGCTATTGATTGGTATGTCATAGAACATACCCTTTCCAGCAAAATCCCTTTGAGACCACAAACTCTTTCATAAAGCGTGTGTAGAGAGTCCTAATGCAAATCATACCAATTAAATGATTAACAAAACCAGTATACATAACATATTTGATTAACAAATCTTCATAAGTAGACATTTAGACTCAAGCCACACAAAGGTAGAACAGATAAAAATAATATACATGCATACCATAATGTTCATCGAGACCCTACGCTAGTGGGATTCAACTGGGTTGTTGTACATACCATAACGTTCATGTTGAACATGGTCACAAACTTGCAAACTAGACACATTCTAAAATTATAAACAAATCACAAATTTGCAATGTAAAAATTACTGTTATAACACCAAGCGTCCAGCACACAGAACTGTAAGAGTCCGTTTGGCATGTTTAAAACAACAAAAGCAGCTGAATCCGATGAAGTTGCTGAAATTGTGGTTAAAATGGCTGGATTGGCAAAATGTGCTTAAATATAAGCATATGATACATGACTGAGAACACTTGATAATGAGATATTTGGAAGACAGCCTTAGAGGACATTGTATGGGTCCATGTAGGATGTAGCCAACCCCAGTGGTTTGGGACTATGGTGTGGTTGTTCATGTATGTGGTTACATGCTTATATATAATGTATGAATTAGATGGAACTGACAAATTGACAACACAATGTATTTTAAGAATTTATCTAAATGCATAAGCCTTGTCACTAATATATGTGCAAAATTTAGGGCATAGTATGTTAGATACCTTCTTACTCAATCTTAAGACCTTTTCATTCTTGTCGTTGGAATCAATTATATTGAGACATAGTGGATACACCTCTATGGTTAACTGCTGGTTATCACCCAAACAAATCACCTTCCTGGGTAAAGCTGGTCCTCCGTTGTACCTAATAAAAAATTAAGGACAATATATATGAAACAAAAACATAAATTGGAATTCCATAAAATTGCCAATATCATAATGTATTACTAAATATATACTCCCTCTGTTCCATACAATAAATTCCCACTATAACTTCACGAAGATTAAGGTGCCTTTTGATTTAGCAATTTGTAGCTGCTTTTGTTGTTGTTAAAACAACTGTTGAGAAATTGTGAATCTTTTGTTTGTTAGCAATTTGTAGCTGCTTTTAGTTTAGCACTTACTATTGTGGTGTAAAATTACTTATGAGGGTACTTATTTAAAAGTATATTAGAATGTTTAAGGAAGAAAAAGCAAACAACAACAATAAAAACTGCCCCAAAATCGCATTAAGTCCCAGTAATATTTAAGGAAGAAAAAACAAGCACTTTTAAAAATAGGTTGGGAAGAGATTTTTGCAACAAAAAAAACTCATCAGCCGCAACATTAAAACTCAACAACAACAAAATGGAGTTGCTGAACCATTGTGTTTTCCTTTGTCAGCCAGAAATACCCAGCCAACCTCTAGGCCAAACGACATCTAAAGAAAGTGTTGAAAAGTGAAAAGTGTGAAGTTAGAATTTGTTTGGTGAGAGGAATATTGTGAGTCACATACTCCATTTTAAGAAGGGAAAGAGAAAAACTGGTAAGTTTATTTTGGGATGGATGAAAATAAAGGGAAGTCGTAAAATCTTTGTGGGATGGGGGGAGCATCTTTTATTTGAACAAAGGTTGTCACAATATAAATATTGGGAGAAGCATGAAAAATAATTAACCATTTTTCCATTAACTTATTTTATTTTTCATTCTCCCCCACTATAAACTCTTCACCATGTTAACCCTCATAACACTCGAGAGGGTGGAAGGGATTATTATAATCTATTCTTCAACGATTAGTAAGTTCAGTTTTTCTTGAGAGAGAGACATCATTTAATTTTTCAACATCACTCTTGATGAAACAATGAATAGCAGGTTTATTTTCGTGAGAGAGAGAGACGTCATTTCATTTCTCTATATCACTCTTGAGTCTGGGCCTTTTGGAAACAGCTCCTCTACTTCTGAATAGGGGTAAGCCCTCTCCAGACCCTACTTTTGTAAGATTTTAAAGGGTTTGTTGTTGTTGTGGTTGTTGTACTCTTCTAAAATAATTTAAAAGAATAAAGAGAAGAGGTAAGTAGAAATCATGAGCAAAAAAGGAAACATTCTTACGATTGTTCCATAATAAGGGGCTTTGTTTGAATTGAATGCCTTTTCCTTATTAACTCACTGCACCAGTCAATTCCTATGTCTGGCGTAGGAGAAATTTCTCACCAAATATTCTATTTCATCAAAACAAGAATTAAGAGTGTATTTGGTGAGCAAAAGAGATATGGGTTCTGATATCTCCAAACTCTCTTTTTAGTCTTTGGTGAAGCCAAAAGAGATATCGAGTTTGATATCTCCAAATATCATAAATCCACCAAATAGAGGGTTTCAATAGCTCTAGAATTTGGGAGATGTCAATATGGGTGTTTGATATCACTCTAAACCGTTCATCATTCCCCGTTATCGACTACCATTGTTACTGCCAACCACCCCCGTTGCCGGTCACCCCTGCCTATCACTAATTAAATAATGATTTTAAATTTCTCCAGACAACTTCGTTTCAGATTTCAAAGCCCATATCATTTCTACCAAATTTCAAAATTTTATCATATCTCCAAAACATACCAAATGGACCTTAAAAGAAGTATAAATCTCGAGCAAAACAAAACATGATTACATTTGTTTGATAATGCACCAAAGGAAGTTGAGTGTGCCTATTCTAAGAGCTCACTTTTATGCATTTGAGGGATTGTGGTTACTGTAAACTTGTACTCTAATGGGGTGCCAACCACTTAGTTGGACAAAATCTCATTTTCTTTCCTTATTAAGTCCCTGCACCATTTGACTCTTGTGTTTGGTATACTGGAAAGTTTGTTCTCGGGAATTTTAATCATCAAGCATGGAGGAAAGGGTAGGGTATTCCTACCCATATCTAATGTGTTGTTTGTTCCCTCATTGCTCCGTGTCCATGCTCATTCCTATCAACCAAACTACAAGTTTGAAATTCTTTTATATTCCTTGCATATTTTTGTCCCTCTTAATTCCCCATGTATTAATTAATGCATTCCGAACATCTAAGTGATCTCGGTAAAAGTGACTGCCGAATACTTAATGCGAAAGCTTGAAGTACACACTACAAGATAATTACCACTGAAAAAGAATCTCCCATACTTCTTTAGGAACCAACTCATAATCACGTCCCTCTAGCAATGTTCTAAGAAGTTGTGGATCATCACACTTATTATCACTCCCTCCTACGATAATATCACCATTGTCAATTGGACCAGGTCTCTCACAAGTATCTGGTGCTATCATAGGTTTTTCAATAGGATTAGCCCCAACAGAGAGCCCTGTATACTTTTGCCATGCAGAAAACCACCTGAAAATACATTTGAAACCACAAAAATATATACAATGAATGATTGAAAAAACTCAACCAAACAAATGCAGGCTGCTTATTCTCCATTTCATTAGAATATGAATCTTATAAATGGTAATTTTTAAACATTATATAGAAAATCACTACAGAAAAAAAACCTAGATCAAGTATTCCCTAAATAGATCACGCAAACAAACAGAAGCGTACCCAGCTTAACAGAAGCCTTCCACGATGCAATACCCAATATATAGATTAATTGTGAACAAAGTCGAAAAATATTGAAGCTTCATGCCAACTACAGTACCTGCTAGATATAACATAAAACAAGTCTCCCTCTGCCAGATTAGACTCGGCCTTGGCCGTGAGCTCCTGTACAATCCGCCTTTCTTCTTCAGGCGGGTACGGAACCTCAATCGATCCGTTCTCCACCATCTTCGAATCTGGTATGGTCATGATCCACTCAGTTTGTATAAAAAAAAGAACATCAACGAGACGTAGTTCTCATCAACACGATCCTATACGAGTACCCTTGATTCGGGAATAACAGGAAGGGAAAAAAAGGCGTGAATAGGCTCAAGAAACGAACCACAGATCAGCAAACCCGGCGATGCACGAAAGGAATGTGCCAATAGTCAATCTGAAGCAGAAACGTATGGATTAGGGTTTCAGACCCTAGATTTCAGGAAGAAATGGTTCCGAACGGAGTTGAATTCATCTAAATGGGGAAATCAAAGAGCCAAATCTCTAGTCTCTCAACGAACTCGCCTTCCAAATTCTTTCTACCACATTTTATATATGAGGGCGGTTATCATCAAAGTATCCACAATTGTTATAAAAAAATGTTACAGTACTTTTTTTATTTTTGTCCATATAAAAATATATCTTTCAACTTCGGTAAAAGGCACAAAAACGTCATTAGCGCATTTTTGACTGAGTACTTCTTTTCCCTAATACATTAATACAGTAGTTTGGTTCAAAAATCTTGAAAGAAAAAACAAAAGAAAATAAAAAAATCACTCTAAATAGGATTAAAACATAGAGAAAAGTACTATAATATGACTTTCATGTCTTTTTTCCTTAAATAGGACTTTGCAATGTGGTAATGTGACTTTGTCCTGTTGTAATGTGGCAGTGTATATGTGCAAATTACTATATTCTTTTTGTAATGTATATGACCATGTATGGTAATGTAAGTCCTATTTCGAAAATAAAAACATGAAAGTCCTATTTTGGTATATTTTCAATTTTTTAGTCCTACTTTGGTCTTTCTCCCAAGAAAATACTTCCTCCGTCCACAAATAAATTCCCGTTGCGCGTTACGATGTTTGACTGAAGTTATTTTCAGATCATTTTATGTGAAAAATGGTGTAAAATTTAAAAATAAGAATTACATAGTATTAAAAACGATATCAAAAGATCTACAAAATTAGAGGTGACGTGATTATATTTATATTATTTTATCAAATGAGTGACGAAAATAGGCCAACAAAGTGAATAAAGTTTGACCCTGTGAATAGTGAACGGGAAGTTTATTTGTGGACGGAGGGAGTAGATGTAAAGATAATAGAAAATTTAATATTACTTATAAACTACTTTCCTTGTTTATTTATTTCATTATTGTATTGTTATTATAATTCTGCTCTCACTTAGATTGGAATTCTCTCATGTAATCTTTAAATATAAAGATGTATCATTCATTATTTTTATAAGACCAATTATTATCAAATGGTATCAACAGGGGAAAAAATAGAAGGAAAAAATGAAAAAACAAAATATATTAAGAAAAAAGAAACAAAAATTAGTTCATATTGGTGAAAAGTGAGAAAAAAAATCCTTTTTTTTCTTTCATAATTCCTTGAACCGAGTATAGTAGTGAAGGGTTTTTTTTACCCTCTACTCATGGTTTTATATTCCTAATTAACTTTTCATCATAACTTAACAGGGTTGTTAAGAAAATAAAATTATTTGGTTATGAGTTATTTAGAACAGTTGGGTTTTGTAGACATTCTCTTCGGGAGTGGATGCGGGTTTATCGGGGGTTGGAACAATTAATATTACGAATGTAACACCATAAGTGTCTAGAGTCCTCTATTGCCACTCAAAGAGGCCATAGAACCGGCTCGTATTTAGAATGAGAAAAAATCCTATTTTGTTGGGAAGCACTCACATTTTTCATTGAGAGGTATTTTCTAAAATGAAGATGCTTCAATAGTTGATCTGTCATACACGGAGACGACCCCATGAATGGTGCTTCCAAAACCAATTGACCGATTATATACATATGTAAATATATATCTACACACACACATGCATGAATGCATGCATACACACACAAGCATTTTTACGTGTGTTGCATGGATTGTATTGCCCGATCAAGTTTAATGGTAGTTTTTATGGTTAAATTAATGCATATTGTTATTTGTTTGATTGGTGCAAAAGTGTAGTCGACAATAATTTCAAGAATATTGTGGAGAACATTAAGTTTTAAATGTTATGAAATTAATTATTGTTCATTTATTCAATTAATCAGGACTAATTTCTAGAATAGTAGATTAAGACACTCATTGATGAGTATCAATTATGTACAGTACTTCCCACTTGTATTTGTATCTATACCAAGGCTCTCCACTATAAATAGAGGCCTAATCCCTGCATTGTAATCACCATTAAGAATAAGAAGAAGAGTGAAGAGTTAATAGAGAGAAGAAATCAGAAATATATTATATCTATTCTTATAATCTTTGAGTAGTTTTTCTCTCATTTTATAACACGTTATCAGCACGAATTTGCTCAAATTCCCAGAATCCTTGTTCTTCTCAGAAGAAATAGAAAATCTCACTTTGTAATCTTCTAATTTGGGTTTAAGAATGAACATGATAATATGGTATGATATATCATGAATAGAGGTATAAGGAATGATATACAAAGCATGTGAGTGTGAGAGGAAATATTAATATAATACTCCGTAATATGTAATAGTGTGGAGGCCCCATATCCATTCAAAAGGAACAGACAATTTTTAATGACAATTTTTAACTTGTTGTGTTTTATATTCTTTTATTCATTACTTCTCAAAAGGAATCAAATTTAAATATGTGGTCTATTCATTCAATTCATAAAGGTGGTTTCCTTTTCACCTGCTAACTTTATTATGTGTAATTTTATGTCAGTTGAATCAAACGAATTATTAGTGGGTATGGAATTTTTTTTTCTCCTTATTAAAAAAAACGGAAGACATACTACACATTTTTTTGTCTTCTTTTATTTGATTTTGATTCAAATAAAAAAAAGGAAAAATAAAGGGAATCAACTTTTTATAGAATAAGTTAGGGGAAAAAGATTGGAGAGGCGCACAGCTCACATGTCCTCACATGTCTGACATTTTTTTTCATATGTTTGCATTATTTGAATATATTATGCTCTTACCTTACTACACCCATTCACTTAATTTTTAACAAAACAATAATATAAAATTAAAATTTATTGTTTTGTAGTTTTCAAATGGCCAACATCACCAAGAGAGAATTTGACATTCTTGATTTATCCGGTCAAAGGTACCTGGAATGGAGGGTTGATGCACTTGCTCACCTTAAGGCTAATGGCCTCGAAAATACAATTGCTGAGAATAATACATCATCATCTCAGCAAAAGGCAAAAGCCATAATTTTCCTTCGCCACCATCTTCATGAAAGTTTAAAATCTGAATATCTATTGGTGGAAGATCCGAAGGAATTATGGGTTAATCTCCAAGAGAGATATAGACATCAACAAAAAGTCTTATTGCCAAGAGCTCAATATGAATGGATCAATTTAAGATTCCAAGATTTTAAGTCTGTTTGTGACTATAATTCTGCTATTTTCAAAGTCACATCCACATTAAAATTATGTGGACATAATATCACAGATCATGATATGTTGGAAAAAAACTTTTTCCACCATGCATATGTCAAATGTGATATT